ACCCTCCGACAGTGCCCGCTCCCTCAGCGCTGACCCTCTGACAGCGCGGCGCTCCCTCAGCGCTGACCCTCAGACAGCGCGGCGCTCCCTCAGCACTGACCCTCCGATAGTGCCCACTCCCTCAGCACTGACCCTCCGACAGCGCGGTGCTCCCTCGGCGCTGACCCTCTGATAGTGCCCATTCCCTCGGCGCTGACCCTCCGACAGTGCGGCGCATCCTCGGCGCTGACCCTCCGACAGTGCGGCGCTCCCTCGGCGCTGACCCTCTGACAGTGCGGCGCTCCCTCGGCAGTGTTTGTTGTACCAGCTCAAATCTCTGTTCTGGCCTTGAACATATGTCCTTGTGCCTCAGAGAACGATGGACAGTTTGCGAACCTTTGACAGAGTGAAGCACCGAAGCGAAGCGGGTGGCGTGGGCACTGGTGTGGCATGGTGGGTTCTATCACTGGGCTCATCGTGTGGGTCCCACTGTGGGAGTATGTTGAAATCCCGCTCGGTATTTAGATGGAATTAGTTTCTCTGGTGTATAAAGCTGGTAGCGTGAGGCTGGAGGGAGACCGGGTCTTTGCGCGTGGCCAGTTCTGAAGGTGCTGGCGAATCTGATGGTGTCCTCTCTGTTTCTCTTTGCCCCCTTTTTACAGCAAAGCCCCGTCCAGAGTCTGGCCAATACCAGCCGCTGCCTCCTGGATTGGTGCAAGGAGGTGACGCGAGATTACCAGCGGCTGAAGATCACCAATTTTACCACCTCCTGGCGGAACGGCCTGGCCTTCTGTGCCATCCTGCACCATTTCCACCCAGAACTCATGTACGTCCAGCTGCATTTGGTTGGCACCTTTTGCCAGGGTCGCACCACACGCACCCCCTCCCTAACCCCACCGCGGCCAGCCAATAAAATGCTGCCACCAGCTCACCTCTTCAACCTACTCCTTGCTCCTCTCATAATTGTGTGCCTTGTTTCTTTTTTGGGGGTTTGCGTCGAGTCTTCTTTCTTAGAATCACAGAATTGTTATGGTGTGGGCGGAGGCTGTTTGGCCCTTCCACGTTGCCCTGATTCTATCCCCTAGCGCCAATCTCCTGCCTTTCCCCCCCTATATCCTTGCGCACCATTACCATCCAATGTCCCCTCCCTCTTGAAAGCCTCCACCGAACCTGCCCCTCCCCCACATTTCCCGGCAGTGTATCCCGCCCCCTAACCACTCGCTGGGTGGGAACATTTTCCGTCACGTCACCCTCGCTTTGTTTGCCTCTCACTTTAAACCTACGCCCCCTCCCTCGTTCTTGTTCCTCTTCTGAGTGGGAACAGCTTCTCCCTGTCTGCTCTGCTCAGCCCCTGCTCCCGGGATTTTGAAAATCTCTCTCAGATCCCCCTCTCTCGGCCTTCTCCTCTCCAAGGGAGGACAGTCCCCAACTTCTTCGGCCTGTCCTCGTCGCTGAAGTTTCTCATCCCTGGAACTGTTCTTGTAAATTGCTTCTGCACTCCCTCTCTCTCACATCATACCTATAATGTGGCGCCCACAACTGGACACAATACTCCGATTGAGGCCTAACCAGTGTCTTCTGCAAATTCAACATGACCTCCCTGCTCTTGGCCTCTGTATCCCTATTAATAAAGTAAAGGGCACTGTCTGCTTTATTCACTGCCCTCGCTACCCATTCTGCCATTTCCTGTAGACCTCTACACACCCAGCTCCCTCTGCTCCTGCAACCCCTTTGGAATTTTATATTGCCTTATCTTGTCTGGCCTCTACGTAACTCCTGACCCCACAGACCGAGTCGGAAGTGGCTGTGTCAGCTCGGTACAGATTCTAGAAGGAGCTAAACGGACCTCCCGGTGGTGATGTACACTGGAAACAATAACTGCAAAGCCAGGCCTATCTACAGAGTCCTCCATAGGGACATCGGGGGGGCCCAGGGAGTTGAGGCGGGGTTGGGTGACAGTGTTGGGGTTTAGGGCATTACAAGAAAATTCAGGAGAACTCTCCCACAGACTGGTCAAGTTCGGCCGAGTCTGCCCGTCTTAAGGATTTTCGGGGAACGGTGGTAAAATGTTGGCCTCACAAGTGTCAGGTCCCTTCCTCCAAATGGGCAAAGCAAGGAATACCGGAAAGGAAGTGGAAGGGCATGGTTTTCAGTCATCTCGTACTTGTCTACTCATCATTCCGTCTTCCTCTTTCCTCCCTCCCTCAGAGATTACTCCTCACTGGACCCTCATGACATCAAGACCAACAACAAGAAGGTGAGCAGAAGACTAGCCCTCAGGCTTTCATGGGAACTAGGCCTCAGGCCTTTGCGAGAACATGGCCCTGAGCCTTCACAAGAACTAGGCCTTCGCGAGAACTAGACCGCGGACGTTCACACGAACAGGGCCTCAGGCCTTCGTGAGAACTAAGTCTGTAGCTTTTGGGAGAACTAGGCCTCAAGCCTTTGCAAAAACTAGGCCTCAAGCCTTTGCGAGAAGTAGGCCTTGAGCCATCCCAAGAATTAGGCCTCAGGCCTTCGTGAGAATGTGGCCCTGAGCCTTCGTGAGAACTAGACCGCGGACGTTCACACGAACAGGGCCTCAGGCCTTCGTGAGAACTAGGCCTCGAGCCTTTGCAAAAACTAGGCCTCGAGCCTTTGCGAGAGGGCCGATTGGTTCACGTGTGAGGTTGGCACTGGTCGGGGTGGGGTCAGTGGGCATCATTGATTGGGCTAATTTGTGTAGTTTTCATTATTCAGGGAGAGATGGTGGCCTGGTGATAACATCACTCGATTTAATAAACCAGCAGCCCCAGGCTAGAGGGCCAGAGAACAATGGTTTTGATTTTGGCCCGAAGTGGGGGCTTTGAGAAATAAAAATAGACTGGAAATGCTGGGGCTTTTTTCACTGGAGCGTAGGAGGTTGAGGGGTGACCTTATGGAGGTTTATAATATCATGAGGGCCATGGATTGGGTGAATGGCAGGTGTCTTTTCCCCAGGGTGGAGGATTTCGAAACTAGGGGCACATTTTTAAGGTGAGAGGAGAAAGATTTAAAAAGGACACCAGGGCAACTTTTTTACACAGAGAGTGTGGAATGAACATCCAGAGGAAGTGGTGGATGTGGGTACAGTTACAACGTTTAAAAGACATTTGGATAAGTACATGAATAGTGAAAGGTTTGGAGGGATATGGGCCAGGAGCAGGCAGGTGGGACTAGTCTAGTTTGGTATTATGGTCGGCACAGACTGGATGGACCGAACGGTCTGATCCTGTGCTGTACGACTCTATGACAGTGTAACAACCTCCAACGCCTTCTCGAAAACATCTGTCTTTCTTGATAAAGAGGGGAACTCTCGTTTCTCTGGTAGTAGCGGAGAAGTGTGGCACCTTAACATGATGGCCAGGCCATTTAATGGGCTAGTAGGAAGCACCTCCTCAAACACAGGGGAAATTTGGAACTTTCCAGATATCCCCGACAAACAATTAAAAATATCCGAGATTGAGGATTGATTTTATTTTCCTCTCCCCATCACCTTGTGGGGTCATGGGGTCCCCTGTGCTGGTGGGGCAGGGGCAGGTACAACACAGTTCAGGCTAGCCTCCTTAAAGGGCAGATCAGATCAAATTGAGGAAATGCCCCAGGTCCAGTGCCTGTTCAAGATTTAACCCCAGAAACTCTGGTTTCCTCTCACAGTCCAAAGATGTGCAGGTTAGGGTGGATTGGCCGTGCTAAATTACCCATAGTGCCCAGGGATGTGCAGGTTAGGGTGGGTTGGCCGTGCTAAATTACCCCATAGTGCCCAGGGATGTGCAGGTTGGGGTGGATTGGCCGTGCTAAATTGTCCCATAGTGTCCAGGGATGTGCAGGTTAGGGTGGATTGGCCGTGCTAAATTGCCCCATAGTGCCCAGGGATGTGCAGGTTAGGGTGGATTGGCCATGGGAAATGTGGAGTTATGGGATAAGGATTTGGTGGGGAAGAGTCTGGGGTGGGATGCTTTTCGGAAGGTCAGTGCCCTCTCGATGGGCTGAATGTTAACTTTTGGGATTCTGTGACACATTCCTGGGATCAGGGTGGATGGAAGAGGTATCTGAGTGGGGGCTACCCTGTTCCCCAAACCCCACCTACCCGCTTTGAGGCTATGTTGGGGTTGGAGTTGTGGGGTTGTGGGGGTGTGGGGGGGGGGGGGGGGGTGTTACTCAATAACATTGTTATCACTGCTCTTCCCTTTTGATGTCCGTTTGTCCTCTGCCAGGCCTTTGACGGTTTTGCCAGCCTTGGCATATCCCGGCTTCTGGAGCCAGAGGACATGGTACTCCTCACCATTCCTGACAAGCTCATCATCATGACCTACCTGTGCCAGATCCGGGCCCACTTCACTGGGCAGGAGCTCAATGTGGTGCACATCGAGGAGAACAGCAGTGAGAGCACCTATAAGGTAGGCAACTTCGACTCGGACTCCCACAGCTCCCTGGACCCTATCCACTTTTACTCGGAGAGAATGGAGGCCCGAAAGGCAGCCTCAGTGCCGCAGAGGCCCGATAGGCCTAAGAGGGAGGCCCTGAAGAGGAACAGTCAAGCCCTGGCTGGCGACGGCAAGAATCCAGACGCTCCTTGGCCCGGTTCAGGCTCCCCCATGGCGGTCGAAGTTGCCCCGCCGCCTGGTTACCAACCCCAGGCTTCAGTCACCGAGGTAGGCCCCCAGGCCGTGGAAGCCAGGCCAGCCCCAGGGACAGGGCCCATGGCTCCTGGTCGGACCCCGGCCACCCTGCTCAAGGGTCCTGGGACGGCTGAGGAGGCCTCGGAGGGCCAAGGAGGACCCCAGCAGGTGCCCGTGGCCAAGACTCGCAGGAAGCACCGAGGAGTGGCTGTGACAGAAGAGGAGGGGAGATCCGTGGGACCGCCAGCCTCGGATGGTCATAGGAAGAGCGGCCAACTAAGCACTGTAGAAGATGATGGGAAACCCACTGGGAAAACAGCCTTAGATGACCACGAGAAGAGTGGCCAGCTGGTCATTACAGAGGATGATGGGATACCCATGAGGACAAGAGCCTTAGAGGATCATGGGAAGAGTAACCAATTGGTCATTACAGAGGATGATGGGATACCCATGGGGGCAAAAGCCTCAGAGGATCATGGAAAGAGTAACCAATTGGTCATTACAGAGGATGATGGGTTACCCATAGGGACAAAAGCCTCAGAGGATCTTGGGAAGAGTAACCAATGGGTCATTGCAGAGGATGATGGGATACCCTTGGGGGCAAGGGCCTCAGAGGATCATGGAAAGAGTAGCCAACTGGTCATAACCGAGGATGATGCGATACCCACGGGAACAAAACCTTCAGAGGACCATGGAAAAAGTGGCCAACTGGTCATCACAGAGGATGATGAAATACCCGTGGGGTCAAGAGCTTTGGAGGACCATGGGAGGAGCAGCCAACTGGTCATTAGAGAGGATGACGGGGCGCCCACTGGGGCATCAGCGTCGGATGAGCTTGCAAAGACCAAAGAGGTGTCCTCTGTTGACGATAAGGGCGCAGAAGTCCAGGAGAAGTCTGGGGCACTGCCTGTCACAATGGGCGATGTGGAACCACTTGACCCTGAGGGTGAAGGGAGGATGGCTGCCCAGGGGAGTGATGGGAAGACCCTGGAGCAGGCGAGTGAAGGGGTGGGTGGGAAACCCCTGGAACATGAGGCGGCTGTGACCAATGAGGGGCTGGCAGTGGAGAGGCTGCGGGATGGGAACACTGTTGACTCGTCCATCAGGGAAGATCCCACAGTGTCAGCATCGGCCACCGTACAGGATGGAATAACAACCGGAGCAGTGTCTGACCCTGAGGGCGGGGCAGCTGCAGGCGGCGCTGAAGTCCCGAAACGTGGCGCGACGCCGCCTGTTGCCGAAGAGCTGGGAATGAGAGCCAGAGCGATCTCACGGGAGTGTTCTCAGGCGGGGGAGAAGGTTCCCGAAACGGAAAGGGAGCCCCAGGCGAGGCCGGGAGACAGCGGCGTCTCCACTGGAGGAGATGCCGAGGGGCCAGTGTCCAGCGGTGGGACCTCGCCTCTCAGAGGGCGAGGGGGGGGCAGCAGGCCAGAACGGATGCAGCGCTCGCAGTCGTCGGAGAGCAGGTCACCGGGAAGGCCAGGCAAGTCCGGCTTCTCCCACATCCGGGACGCCGACCTGGTCAGGAAGAGACGCTCTCGGAGGCGCAGCGACTCAATGGAGGACACCAACAGCACTCCCAGCCAGAGCAACGTATCGGCCAGTGTGTCAAGGCCGGAGGTAAAAGGAAGCAGGAAGGATCCCTGGTTCAGTGTGAGGGCCAGCCATGAGGGGCTCAGTGTGTCTGTGAGAGAGACAGAGAGTGTGCGCGTGTGAGTGTGAGAGAGTGCAAGCACACGCACTCACACACACACACACACTCTCACACACACGATAGACACAATTACACACACACACACAGACACAGTGGCACACGGATACAAAGACCAATGCACACAAACACACACACAGGAACAAAGACCAATGCACACAGACACACACA